GTCTTTACCAGGTTTGCACACACAGTAGCTGGTATCTTGGCCCATTCCTCCATGCAGATCTTCTCGAGAGCAGTGATGTTTTGGGGCTGTCGCCGAGCAACACGGACTTTCAACTCCCACCACAGATAAATACTCTCCTCTCTTACTCTCACTCACTGTGTTTGCACAGCTGGCTGCACATCTACATCTGTTGGTTGTTTTTTACGCTTGCCCACTCCCTGATCTCTTATTCTTTTGCATGTTTCTCACACTTACATATTTCAGATGTCAGACAAAAATAACCTGAAGAAACGCATAATGCAGTGTTATTTTCAATTCAATTTCAGTTCTTGTTGCCAAGAGTGGCATAACCAGTAATTAGATTTAGGGGGAAAATATGATCAGGTAGGTCTGGACAACTTTTTCCCCTTAATAAATAAAATCAGCATTTCAAAGCTGTATTATTTTTTTATTCATTTGGGTTATTCTTATATCTGAAATATTTAACATGACAAATATGCAAAATAACTAAGAAATCAGGAAAGCAGCAATTTCTTTGTCATAGCACTGTATTTCTGTAATTGACATAGTGTTACTCATTCAGACTAATCCAAAACAGCTGACTGGCACATCCAGGCACATGGTCAGGGAGAGCTTGGTCTGCTTTTGCTTTGTTTTCTATTTCTATTCTCACTCAGGCACTTTTATTTAATTGTTGAAAGTCAAAATAATGATCAAGATAAACAGTCAATTAAGTGTGTGTTTTAAGTGTTTAAGTGTGAAAATCTTCTTGGATGCTCTTTTGTTTTTACTTTTTCATCTGTGATCTGATCTTTCATGTACTTTCCAGCTCTCCGGGTGATTGGTGGAAGTGTGACAGTGGAACAAGGAGGTACTGCTATCTTACCGTGCTATGTCACTGGTACCAATGATGACCTGACACAGATTACCTGGCAGAGGAAGACGAGAGAAAAACCTCACAATGACAATTTTATTACTATCCAACCCAGAAATGGACTCCAGTTTGTCAATGGACGTGATGATCGATTTAAATATGTCGGGAATTTTAACAACAAAAATGGAACTCTCCAGTTATCCAATGTTACCCTGAAGGATGAAGGCAGCTACACGTGCATCTTCACAATGTTTCCCAGTGGAAATCAGAAGACTGAGATACCTCTAAACTTGCTTGGTATGAAAAAACACTTTATTTAAATTATTCTGGGTGTTTGTGTGTGAGACAGAGACAGAGTTACTTCGACCGTCCTGTATGCATGTTTATTTATTTGTGTGCTGTACCTCTCCTAGTGCCTCCTTTCACAAACATCAAGGACAACCTTCCAACTTTGGGCACAGAAGAGGTTTTATTTGCTACCTGCACGGCTGCTGGATCGAAGCCTCCTGCAGAGGTGAGGTGGCTCACTGGTGCTTTGGGAGACAAAGTGAGGACGACAACAAACTCCACCCAGTATGACAACGGTACGACTACCACTGTCAGCTCTCTGTTTGGTGTTCCTACGAGAGAGATTAATGGTCACCAGGTCCAGTGTGACATCAGCGGTGACTCCCTGACTAAAGAAAAAAGTCTGCCCTTCATCATACA